ACTGTAACAAAAGTACTGCTCTAGTGGGGTTGTTCATAATGGGGAAGGTTATGCAAATGTACGGGCATGGTATGTATAGGAAATCTCTGTACCTTCCCTTTAATTTTCCTGTGAGCCTTAAACTGCTGTAAAAAAACAAAGTCTTTTAAAGATCATTTTAGGCAGTAATTTCTTTGACATTGACCTTAACAACATTTTTGTAGATAAATTCCCTCAGGCGAGGGAAACAAAAGCAAAAATAAACTATTGGTACTATACCAAATTATAAAGTTTGCACAGCTAAAGAAACTATCAACAAACCCAAAAGCCATCCTACTGAATGGAAGAAGATATTTGAAAATGATAAATCCAATGAGAGGTTAATATCCGAAATGTATAGAGAATTTATACAACTCAATACCCAAAACCAAATAATCCATTTAGAAAGGGGCTGAGAACCTGAATAAACATTTTTCCAAAGAAGGCATATGGATGGCCAACAGACCCAAGAATAATTACTCAACATCACTAATCAGCAGGGAAATGCAAAGCAAAACCACAATGAGATATCTCTTTATACTGTTGCAATGCTAGAATCACAAAACCAAGAAATAACAAGTACTGGTGAGGATGTGAAGAAAATAGAACCCTCATACACCACTGGTGAAAATGTAAATTGGTGCAACCACTGTGGAAAACAGTAAGGAGGTTCCCCACCAAAAAATTAAAAACAGAAATACCATATGATCTAGTAATCCCACTACTGAGTAGATACCCAAAAGAAAAAAAATTAATTCAAAAAATATATGTACCTTCATGTTTATTGTAGCATTATTTATAATAGCCAAAATATGGAAACAATACAAGTGTCCTTGAACAGATAAAAAAAATATATATAACAGAATATTAATCAGCCATAAAAAAGAATGAAATCTTGTAATTTGTGACAGCACAGATGGACCTAGAGGGTATTATGCTAAGTAAAATATGTCATAGAAAATCAGATACCATATGATTTCATTTATATATGGAATCTAAAAAACAACAAACCAAAAAACAAACTCTTAAATAGAGAATAAATTGGTGGTTGCCAGAGCAGAGGTGGTATGGAAATGGGTGAAATAGATAAAATGGATTAAAAGGCACAAGCTTACAGTTATAAAATAAATAAGTCATGGGGATGAAAAGTACAACATAGAGAATACAGTCAATACTATTGTAATAATGTACAGTGACCAATGGTGACTATACTTATCATGGTGAGCACTGAGTAAGGTATAGAATTGAATCAATATGTTGTACACCTGAAACTAATATAACATTGTATGTTAATTATACTACAATACAATAAAAATACATCTTAAAAGTAAAAACAAAACAAAACAACAGACTCGTGAAATTTGGGATAACTACAAGCAGTGACAACAAGATCTTGGGCTGAGGGTGAAGACCTTGAGCACTCTCAGAAGTGTTAATGTGGATCACGTCCATTCTTATTTTACTGGTTTACACCATATACTATTACCAAATTGTTAAGTCCCCAAGTATATATGTAATTTTGGACCACCATAGGAAAAATAAAACCTTTAAATGTACCAGGAAGAAAAGACTGGTTATAAAGTCTGTGGACTTATAGCAGTTATCAGAAGTAAAGAAGAGTGAAAAGAAAGAAGTAAGTCATTTACAAGTTTCCAAATTATACTTTTGAAGAAAGCAAATATGTTACTTCTAGACAAATTATGTTTAGAAAATACATTGCCTTATCTTTAAAATAATGTCTAAATTTTACAGTTATGCAATTTTATAAATTACATTTCTATGTAAATCACTGCACTCTATATGTCTCAAAGTCTTAATTTTTAAAAAATGACCTTAAAATACTTACATAAATGTTTGTTTGAGTTTACTTATACATTGTTATCTTGTTTGTTAGGAAATCTTGGGCTGGTCACTTTTATTCCTGCATAGTCAATTTTGTTATTTTACAACTTTCAGATTTATTTTCAACTTGTAACCAATCCATCTATATTGTTCTTACTCAATGTGTGTGTCATCATGGTTCTTAGTTGCAAATTACAAACATGAATTCAAATTAATATAGTTAAAAGATGGATTATTGGAAGTATAACATGAAGCTCACAGAATCTATGGAAGTCCTATTAAAACAAGCATAGAAAGTGGAAGGGAAGAGAGAAAATCTGAGGACATAGTGAAATTTTCCAAAGACCTCCAGAACACCACTGTTTATGATGGGGCACAGAAGATTGTTACAGCTGGATAAGCACCCTCATGAGATACCTAATATAGCACCAATGGGCTTTTTGATTTTAGGGTTACCACCTTCAGTGTCTTCAGGATTCTCGCAGTCAAAGCCATGACTGGTGGAATGAATCCTAAACTGTCACTGATTTTTTTGGGTTACTAACACCAGAATCAGAATTGGATATTTACTCCAGGCTTACTGTTCCAAGTGATACCATGTGACTGACAGCTTTAGTCACATACTGGTGAGCTGGATGCCAAGGTCTGAAGGAAGCAGAGCACAGTGTGCATTTACTGGCCAACGTCACAAGTAAAATTTCCCAATACAGTTTACCACTTTGGCTGCCCAACCTCCATATACAGGCTTCTTTGCATAATTAAAACTCTTTCTTCCTAATTTAATGCAACCACTCTGCATTCTGTCCAAAGCACATTCACCTATCCACAATGTATTATAACCTACTGCTCATAATTCTGACATGCTCTCAACTCAGTATTCTTTGTGTCATAAAATTAAGCATCATAGTACATCTTACACAACAAGATCAGTGAATACTTAAGAAGAAAACAAGAATAAGTTATATAAATATTCACAGGCTATAGCAATAAAGAAAATAAAGGTAGACTATAGTTTTCATTTCTATAAGTCATATACCAATTACTTTATGGTAAATTGGGTTTCTTAATTACCCTTAATTTACCCAAGGTCACAGCTAGTAAGTAGTATTGCCAGGTTCCAGACCAGGTAGTCTAGCTTCAAAGCCCATGTTTTTGGTCTCTAGGCATTACTGTTTCCCAGTCCTACTAGCTTTCAGTCTCTTTTTTGGTTTCTGTAATAAATTATTTTCAGATGCTTATCTGCCTTAGGAACTTTAGGATGACGTTTCCTAGACTTCATTCATCTGTGAAATTTTCCAGTGTTCTCACATTCCTTCCAGTTTATCTCTATTTTCTAAAATTCAAATGTGAAAAACTGTATTTAGATTTTATGTTTACAGATTGGCAGAGTATGTGATACTTCCCTGAACAATTTTTATCCCTCTGATAGCTTTCTTGCCCTTTCTTTCGATTTTCCCCTTTGCTTTTCCCTTGGTGGGAAATTGTGCTATTTCTCTTATGGACTTCCAGACCCAAGTGGTGTGTGCAGGGTAAGACTACTTTAAATTTGTCAAGAAAAAATGTATATATAATAGAAGACTGATTATAAGAGTAACTGTTTTGACTTGATTTAAATGGAGTGATTCTAGAATCTGATAAGTATAATGCCAAGTGTTACTTTTAGAAGTGCTTTATGTTGGTAATGTATCCATTTAGATCTAATTTGTCATGAAATGTTTAGATAAGAATGTTTTAAAATATTTTCTTTCAAGTTCCCTTTTGGTCGATTTTATTCCTCTCCTTTTTCACTCAGTTCCCAAGGCCTGGCATTTCTTCCTTAACCTTTTTCAAATCTGAACTTCCTTTTAATCTGTTATCCTAGGTTGGAACTCTATCATCTCTTAACTGTACCATTCTAATGGTTTCCTTTGAGATATATTATTAGTACTATGAAAATGCGGACTGTCTCTCTCTTGTTCTCCTTTATATCCTAAATGCTGAGCACAATGCCTACATGTAGTAAGGAGGCTTTTAAAATATATCACAGATTGATGAATGAATAATGAAGATTCATTTTCTAATTATTTCTTTTCTCCAATAAATGCCCAATAAATAATCAGACTAATCAACTGCTTACATGGCAGCACTTTTCTGCTAAAAATATATGTATTGGATCACCATTTTCTCACAATAAATTACATTTCTTCCACTAGTTTGAAAACTCATTGAATTTTTTTAAATTATCTAGAAAATTAATTCTATCAGATTTGCTAAATTTTTCTCTTCACATAGTGGATCAGACATCTGTAGACTCTTCAAGATATCAGAAAAATACCCACCCCATGTGTAAAGACTATAGAAGGTAACAAAATATGCAAATGCAAACATTTAGATTAATGGTTACTACTGATCAGAAAATTAATTTCTGGATATTGCAAAAATCCTTGAAAATTATAATTTTTGATTGCATGGACTTAATTTCCTCTCCCATGTTGCTTTGAAACTTGTCTTTATAAGAGCTTTCCTTTTCTATTTTCTTCTCTATGTATTCCATCATTCTTGAAAGCTACATGTGAGAAAAGCGGTGCAATTCAAGTTGCAATATTAAGGTAGTAAAATATAATAGTTAAGAACATGAACTTTGAAGTAAGACCACATGAGCTTGAATTCTCACTGTGCAACTTTGACACTCTTCTTAATCTCCATGTACCTCATTTTTCTGATCTATAAAATACGAATATAATAGTACTTACTTCAGGGGGCTCTGTAAGAGTTAAATCGGTACCTGTTACACAGATGATTCTCACATACTATCACTTGTTGTTTTTAATTTTTTTAAGCTATAAAAGTCTTTAATAATAAATCAATTTAAGCTTTTTGGGAAATAATTTCTACTAAAGATTCATAATCAGCATAGTCCTTCAAGGACTGTACAAGTTCATCCAGCAGAAACTCCCCTTGCATAAAACTTTCAAGATCATGAAGTGACCTGTTTATTCTGTGATCTGTGACCTGGTTCTGTGGAAAATTATATGTTCTTATTTTCTCTGACCTTCCTTTAGTTCCAACCTGAATCTTTCTAGCACTGTATCTTTTACTTGTCTCCTCTTCCAGATGCATGCTGTACAGTTTCGCACGCAGCTTCTTCATAGCCATCTCTCTGTTTTTCAGTTGAGATCTCTCTTGTTGGCATTCAGAAACAACACCTGTTGGAAGATGAACTATCCGGACAGCACTGTCCGTGGTATTTACATGCTGTCCTCCAGCTCCACTGGCTCGCTTAGTATCAATTCGCAAATCTTTCGGGTTAATCACCAGATTAATCTCAGTTGGCTGGGGTAATATTGCTACAGTCATGGTGCTAGTATGGATGCGGCCTTGCTTCTCTGTCTTTGGCACTCTTTGTACTCTGTGCACACCTCCTTCAAATTTCATGTGCTTATAGGCTTCTAAACCCCCAATGCTGGCAGATGCATGTCTAAGGCTGCCTATTTCACTTGGAAAGTATTCCAGGGTTTCAAAATGCCATCTTTTAAATGCAGCATATTGCTGATACATATCAAACATCTCTGAAGTAAACAACATTGCCTCCTGAGCCCCAACTCCTGCAGTTACCTCCAAGATCAAATCATTTTCATTTGTTTCTTCTGAGGGAAACAAAAATAAAATAATCTGATGCTTCAACTGAGTTACTTCCTTTTGACATGAGCTTATTTCATTCTCTGCAAGTTTCCTTAAGTCCTCATTTTCATCGTGTAGCAAGTGCTCAGTCTCCTGCACCTCCTGCTCCTTTTCGCTCAGCAGTTTGGCTGCCGCCAGCAGCTCAGACCCCCTGACCTGCAACTGGGCTTCAGATCCTGCCTGACGCTCCAGAAAGGCCCTCAAGGGCCCGCCGCGAGCGAACAGCTCCTCCAGCGGCAGGCTTCCGCAGTTTAGGTGCCGGCGGACCGGGCTGACAACCTTGCCAGCCCACAGACACGGAGCAGCACTCCGAAGAAGCTGGGACCTCATAGTTGAATTGCCTGTTGTTTTTCATTTTAACCCTGGTTTAGTCTTTATATGCAGAATAAAATTAGCAATAAAATAACAAAATACAGTGAAATTGAAAGGGAAGATTGCCCTTTTTAAAAATATATTTCAGGGGTGCCTGGGTGGCTCAGTCGTTTAGCGTCTGCCTTCGGCTCAGGTCATGATCCCAGGGTCCTGGGATTGAGCCTTGCTTCGGGCTTCCCACTCTGCGGGAAGTCTGCTTCTCCCTCTTCCACTCCCCCTGCTTGTGTTCCCTCTCTCGCTGTGTCTCTCTCTGTCAAATAAAATCTTAAAAAATATACATATATTTCAACAAAAACCTTTTTTAATGTATAAAGTACCCAAATTATCACCTAAATGTGTATTGTTCTTAATCAGGAATAACTGAACAGAACATAAATGTCTAATTCTGGTGTTATTCCCTATTTTCTCTCAATCAACTAACATTAAAGAAAACCAGCATTCCATATAAGTAATAAAGTATGAGTTTAATGTAAATATATAATATGAATATATGCATTCTTGTATGCACATACTGCTGAAAAATTCTTCAAACCATGAGTTTCTGGGTTTCCTTAAATAAACTCAGCAACTGCTTCTTTTTTCATTTATTAGAGCATCACATTGCATGACTTGGGCTTTAATGCTTCATGAAAATTTGCCTTGTGTTCCTCTGACTCATAGTTTGAGATTGTATACTAGAGATGATAGGGCAGATAAGCCTTGGAAAAGTTTTCTCTCACTGCATTTGGTCTATTATCTACTGACCAGCAATGCTAATGATAATTTGTTATTCCTATAAAAAGGGAAAGAAAAAAGAGCACACTGAAATGCCAGGACCAAAATATTCCTTGCTCTTGATGTCAAAAATCTATTTGAAGGTAGTCTACAAATAGAAAAATCTCAATAGGCAGCAACTCTGTTTGCTTATATACTATTCAAGTGGAAGTAAGTTCCAGTGAGAAAATTCAAGCACCTTGCTTCTTCCATGCATTATTCATTGTAAATCAACAAACATCTGCCCTAGTCCAAATGTAGGTTCCCCAGTGGACATAATGGACCAGAATTTAGATATTCACTTTTTCCAATATTTGATGAAATTCAAGATGACTGGGCTTTGGGCAGTGACCTTTTCTTTATAGCATATATACCATGTTAATGCCATATTATTATCATTTTTTGCTTTGAATCAGCTTCTATGTTGTTTGAAATAAATATAAAGTTAGAAATATTTTTGATAGATTAAGATTATGTAATTTCTATGGAATTATTTGACTATTCTACCTGTAGAGGCAGAGAACTGGGTTTAAATATGCTTCTCCAACACTGAGAAGCTGATTCTATTAAACATAAAGTATGTTTTTGATATAGTAAGTCCTAATACTGACACTACCATATTGTTCACATACAATTTTTGTTCACAAATCACATACAGAATCCAATGCATACATTTTAATAATAATAAGCATTATATTAGGTTAAAAATTTTATAGAATTTCAGTGAATAAACTTAGCTATCAAATTTACTATGGATGAGTAGTCAAAAGAAGATCAAGGAATTTCCTCAAATTAATATAAATCCCTATGAAGAAAGTGTCAGATAAGAGTATTCCTAGTTTTAGTTTCATGTTCGTTTTGTTAGGACACGCTGACAGAGTCCAGGACATGATGTCAGTTCTGTCTTAAAGGAGAAAGGGTAAAGCTATTTTTTTTTTTTGTAGAACAATTCAATTCCCTTTTTCTGAAATCCAAAGAATTATTTGCCTATAAAAAAGTGGAACATAATCTTGTAAACATCCTAAAACAAATAATGTGCATGTCATCCAAAACATGAAAACCATAATGTGTCTTAATAAATCATATTATCTATTGATTATCCAACAATGGGCTGTGCCAAGTTAAGATTAAAAGATCGTGTTTCTGACTTACAGAAGGAGAAACATAAAAATGTGAAGAAAGAACTAGGGAGATTTTTAAAAATTAATTCTCTTATCCAACTTAACATTTTTTTAAAAAGATTATTTATTTATTTGTCAGAGAGGCAGAGAGCAAGCACAAGCAAGGGGAGCAGCAGGCAGAGGGAGAAGCAGGCTCCCCACTGAACAAGGAGCCCCATGAGGGAATCGATCCCAGGACTCTGGGATCATTACCTGAACTGAAGGCAGATACTTAACTGATGGAGCCACCCAAGCGTCTCCAACTTAACATCTATTAAACAACAGTTTCAGGGAAATTTTATTTCTCTATTTCTATCAGACGGGAACTTTTCTTGGTTTTATGTGTCTTCATATTAAATTATTTTATATACTCTAGAAATGCCATTCATTTCCATTACTTTCTATCATTTCTGTCTATATGGGCTGGTTTTAGAAATAATAGAAATAACAGCAAAAATGGTTTACATATTTATTAGGCATTTACCACTTGCCATGCTGTGTGCTAAGTGCTGTCCATTCCTGTCATTTTATGCTGCCTTTTGAGGAAGGTAAAATCTGTATTTTTCATATACAGAAACAGAAGTATAGAACAAATTTAGCATGTAGAAGAGCTCTAATTTGAACCCAGGTAGTTCTGGGACTTATTTTTGGCACAGATTCATGTTTGGTTACATGCCTGAATTATCTTTGTGCTTCTATGGTCTCCTAGGAACTTGTAAGAATGAGGCGATGGGACGCCTGGGTGGCTCAGCCAGTTAAGTGTCTGCCTTTGGCTCAGGTCATGTTCTTGGGGTCCTGAGATTGACTCCCACATCAGGCTCTTTGCTCAGCGGGGAGCCTGCTTCTCCCTCTGCCTGCCACTCCCCCTGCTTGTGCTCTCTTTCTCTCTCTGACAAATAAATAAAATCTTAAAAAAAAAAAAAAGAATGAGGTGACACTTCTTGCAAGGCATTCTAGAGAAAGTCAATAAGTACTGAGGTCTTCCTAATACCTACCTAAAAGGTAGTTCCCAGGAAGATTGTATTGTTAATACACAGAATAAAGGCTGTCTTGGAGTGCCTTCATTCCTTAGTATTATTTTTCAACAAAATGACAGGCTGGTTTCATTAGGTGATAGCAAAGGTCTCTGGGTTGTCACCTTTAATCCTTCCCACTGCCCATGCTCCAGGCCAGAACTTAATTCCTTGTTTGAATTTTCCTTTACATATCTCTCTCCAACCTCTTCCCATTCCAATCCAATCCCGCCTTATTTGTACTTCCTAAATTGTAAAACCCATCATATCACTCTGTGACTTAAAATTTTTACATGATACTTTGCTGCTTAACATAGTTGAAAACTAACCAGCTGGGCAAGTATGATCCTTGGACTGTTTCATTCACCTAAGAAAATATTTGAATTCGAAGTTGAATGTCTTGGGTCTGGGCATACATTCTCCTGTTCCAGAGCTCTTAACATTCTCCAATTGTTTTGTTGTTGTTATTTAGAATCATACATGTATGTTAGTTGCTGGACTTTTGTAGGCAGAAGATTTTCTGATTTTTTTAATTAATTAGATAAAATTTATGGTCCAGAATGTGGTATGGTCTCTGAAGTCATATTACCTGGGTTCAAATCCTCGGGTCAAATCAAGGAAGATGAATTTACCATGTGTCTATAATAGTTTTGCTGTGGCTATACAGTGACCCCGGGCAATGAACTGAATCTCTGTTTTTCAATATCTCATCCAACAAATGGAATAATGTTACTTACTACAATGTCACAATATCATTGAGGTTTTGCAGCCAAAGAGCTCAACATAGTCCTTGGTCCATAGTATGTGTTCATCAGACAGTCATTAAGTTGTTTATGTTTATACTTCCCCAATTTCAAAGTAGTAAAACTGATCTCTATCCCTTGATCAATATGAATGTCTTATATTCTAGAAACAGAATACTGTTCATCACACCCAAGCATATTGTTCTGTTTATGGTCATTCTCGTATTTTCATCTGAAATGGCCTTTCCTGCTTTTTCTGCCTGGATTTCTCTTCATTCTCTAAGTTCCAGGTCAAATGTCATCTCTTCTCTGTAGCTTTACCAGAGCCTTCTAGGGAGAATACTTTATCCTTTATTCTCATAATACTTTTGCACACTTCTAATATGCCATTTATCACAATGAAATACAATTATTTATAATAGCTAATATTTGTTGAACACCATGTGCCAAGTATTATGCTTAGTACCTGGCATTTATTATTTCAATTTTAGTTTCAAAGTAATCTTCAATGGCATCTATTGTTATCCTCATTTCTCAGATTCATATTTTTAATTCCATTAATTTCATCGTATGTATCAGAAAGAAGTAAATAGCTCAAGTACATACTCTTTGTAAGTCACTGACCTGGGAGTTAACAATATGACAATATGACATCAGAGCACATCTCTTACTCTCTATAATATATGAGTAATAAGTACCACATTCATCCCCAAATCCCCAGAACAAGGATCATTCATCATATTTAAACCTCAGCCATCTAGATGAGCTTTTGCCCAGCATAAGCACTCAAATATGTGGTAGATATGTGAATCACTTGATTAACTTGTCTTCAGAGCTGAAATACCTGAAAACCACCAATAAAAGGTTTAGTAAATAAAGGCTCTTTACCATCCTTGGAAGAAATTTTGAGAAGACCACAGTGAGATATAAGATTATCAGAGAGACCTAAGGATCATATCTAAGTAGTCTTTGTTTCTAATAGAACTAACGTCGACATCAAAACAGAAAGTCAAGAGAAATAGTGATGAGGGTATACTATGGCAACTTTCAAGACAGATGAAATAAAGCCAATTTGACTGAACAGAACCTATAAAAGCAATCAACTGCTACAGCAATTACTATTATTGTAAAACAAGCCATCACAAAATGTTGTATAACCTGTGCTGGATCTTGCTGATCTTGACTGGGCTAACTCATATATGTGTAGAAAGCTGGTGAGTTGAGTAGTTGCTGGTGGAAGATGGCCTTGGCTAAGATGAGGTATGAAGGTGCAATGATCTACCTTCAAAGACCTC